AAGCTACGCTCACCTCAGCCACGCATCAACACACTCACTGATCCAGATGTAAGCTTTCCAACCGATCATCGTTTGTCGTGTCAACACCACTGCGTCGAATAGGGTCTATCGCATGAGAACAGTCTGAACTTCCCCACATCATCGCTGCTCTATAAACCCAACCTTACAACATGGACAACATCATATTGTTCATGCCGATACAGGTTTTAGACCCCTACCGTCCGGCTTCCCGCTCAGGCAGATGATAGGAAGAGAGTTCCCCAAAGAGAAGCTCCGCGTCTCTCCATTTAATGCTTTCTACTGCGTTACTTTCCGAATTCCCGCCATTTTTCCCGCCGCCCCCGACTGTGTTTTTTTTTTAACCACACTCTTCACTGATGTGATCAACTGAGAGCGCTCGTTTGGTTGGTGACCAAATGGCACTCACTTGGGCTGGTGACTCGCGATTGGTGGATTGGTGAAACCTGTCACTGGATTGTTTACTTGTATGATATATATACTGTGTCGGACTTAAATGTGTTTTTCCTCGCGGTTTCCATTTTTATTGCTAAGTGGATTTTTATAGAACAAGTATGACGCATTCAGTATGACTTGGTCAGAACATGTATAGGACGAACATGACACGTTCAAGACGAGTATAAAGCGTTCAGGACAAGTATATCACCTACAACACGAGCATGACCTGTTTAGAACGTGTATCGTACGAACATGAAGCGTTCGGGGACAAGGACATCACGTTCAGGGCGAGAATATCACGTTCTGGACGATCATGACGTGTCTGGGACAAGGTATATATATAGAAGAGAGAGAGAGAGAACATGCGCAGCTTGTGGCGACCCAACACCACCGGGAGTAACATTACCAGCCAGTTATCAAACAGGTTTGGTGAGAAATTATTCCTCTTGAGGAGCAGCTTAACCTTCCTCCTGGGGTGAAAGGCGTATTATTTTCTTGTGGTTAAATATAACCGTTTGCCAAGAAATTACACACGTGAACATTATTATTTGGACGAGACATATACACACTGACTATACGTATTTATATACACTGAGAAAATGTAAAGGAGTGAGAAGAAAAAGAATTAAACAATGAGTTTATGAACATTCGCGAATGAGTCAGATAAACATATTGACAGCCAGGCCGTGGCTGACTCGACCCCCAGGACTGAGTCCAACCCAAAACGTTGCGCCATTTTAGTGTTGAAAGCTTGGGTAGACCTGCTGTCAGGGCCTGAGCATCTCCCCAGCCCCCCTGACATGCTGCCAGGGCCTGAGCATCCTCCCCGGCCGCCCTCGACCTGTTGCCAGAGCCTGAGCATCCTCCCCAGCGACCCTCGACCTGCTGCCAGGGCTTGAGCATCCTCCCCGGCCGCCCTCGACCTGTTGCCAGGGCCTGAGCATCCTCCCCAGCGACCCTCGACCTGCTGCCAGGGCTTGAGCATCCTCCCCGGCCGCCCTCGACCTGTTGCCAGGGCCTGAGCATCCTCCCCAGCGACCCTCGACCTGCTGCCAGGGCTTGAGCATCCTCCCCGGCCGCCCTCGACCTGTTGCCAGGGCCTGAGCATCCTCCCCAGCGACCCTCGACCTGCTGCCAGGGCTTGAGCATCCTCCCCGGCCGCCCTCGACCTGTTGCCAGGGCCTGAGCATCCTCCCCAGCGACCCTCGACCTGCTGCCAGGGCTTGAGCATCCTCCCCGGCCGCCCTCGACCTGTTGCCAGGGCCTGAGCATCCGCATTCTTCCTGCCAAATGATTACAAAATTACTGTATAATAATTTCAATTTATGTAGTATATAAACAAATTAATCACGGTCATTGAGAGTGAATTCAAAAAGCATCAATATATATATATATATATATATATATATATATATATATATATATATATTATATATATATATATATATATATATATATATAGCGGCTAGATATCTGCGAGGCACTACACATTAAGACGTTGACACCACCAATCAACAGCCAATTAATGCACAACTATATTCTACCCACTTCAAGACTCCGCACCAATATAGAAGCATCAAGAAATGTGGGCCAATAGGCCCTTTGCAGTTACTTCCATTCTTCCCTTTAACTTACAAAATTATATATATATATATATATATATATATATATATATATATATATATATATATATATATATATATAAGTACTGAAAAAATTGAGATTTTGAAGCAAGGATTTTTCACTATAAATTGTTTTAAGTTGCCATAACATTGCCTCAAGCCTAAACTAAAAGATCACGTGACTGCTCTTTAGGTCAACTTGAAATTAATTTTATCTCATAAAACACACACTTGTTTTAATTTGAGATTTTTATTATCAAAATAGTTATTAACTCATTCCGACGAGAGAAGCAGCCTCGTATAGGCCAATAGGCTTGCAGTGTCCTTAATATTTATGTTCTTATACAGTCATCAAAATCCTGTGAAGTAGGGTGTAATGTTTATTAAAGAAATTAAATTAAGAGAAGAGAGCTTTGAGCCGGTATGCCTATATAAGTTTGCCTGTGCAGAAAACATTTTAGGCCTACAGGCAAGGCATTCTTAATCTTACTCATTTTATTTAAGACAATAGATGTTTGTTTTTTGTCAATGTATGTGTATGTTTGGCCGTCGAAGTGTTTTGTTGACACACTGAGCCAATCTGTCATGTCATTTTGGTATCGTTTGTGTCATTTACAAACAGGCAGTATGATAGAGAAGCATAAGAGCGACGCGCATTCTTAGTATTTGCTTCGAAAATAATTTCGCCAGCCCAACCACTTGGACATGACTGTCTCGCTTCATGCAGGTCGGCGTTCAATCCCCGACTGTCCAAGTGGTTGGGAACCATTCCTTTCCCACAGTTTCATCCCAAATACTAATCATGACCCGTGGTAATGGCTTGGCTCGTTTCCTTGATAATTTTCTTCGTTATGCATAAAATAAGTCACTATAATCTGGTGAAACCAATAACTCATCTCAGACATGAAGTGAATCAACGACGTTTCTGGCAAGTTTAATTATATGAAATTTTCATAATTACAGCTGAAATATAAGCTTGAAATTCAGAAGTTTTGTTTATATCTGCAACAGTTGCAACTAAGTCAGAGCCACGTCGAGTGATGCTCGCAGCAGTGGCCCAATCATCTAGTTTGTGTCGAAAACTATCATTATATTTGTCGGTTTTGTCCACAGCTGTGAGGAACGTGTGTTGCTACGGCGGTGTGTTCACTCACACGGCGAGTGACGCTGCCCAATAGACTAGCCCTCCAGGGGGGCAAAATTAAAACAAAGTAAACACGCTCACCTTCAGTGTATATATTGGGAGGTCGAGGCTGTGTCCCTCAGAACCTGACCTCACTCTCCTGCCCCCCTCCATACCCCATCACCCCCGCCTCTTGACCCACAGTATACCCATCCTGCCCCCACCCTTCACCTCGCCACGCCTACCCCCCTCTTCTTCTAAACCCACCTTTCCTATTTTTAACATAACGTAAGAATTTTGACAATTGCAGCAGACCTAAGAATCTGTGCGAGGAGCTCTTGATTTATTCCAAGCCATTGTAACTCACCCACGCTTCTCTAATACTATTTCCGAAATAGGGACCATCCATTTATTTTCTAAATCTGAACTCTTCCATTTTGAATACATTGTTTTGGGATCTATCGTGAGTTGCTATTTATGCATTTATTTAAATATGACGTTGACGAAATCATTTCATTCATCTTCAAGTCACGTCAACCCTCACTTTAAGCCAGAGTCATGTCGAGTCTGGCCACGAAGCTACGCTCACCTCAGCCACGCATCAACACACTCACTGATCCAGATGTAAGCTTTCCAACCGATCATCGTTTGTCGTGTCAACACCACTGCGTCGAATAGGGTCTATCGCATGAGAACAGTCTGAACTTCCCCACATCATCGCTGCTCTATAAACCCAACCTTACAACATGGACAACATCATATTGTTCATGCCGATACAGGTTTTAGACCCCTACCGTCCGGCTTCCCGCTCAGGCAGATGATAGGAAGAGAGTTCCCCAAAGAGAAGCTCCGCGTCTCTCCATTTAATGCTTTCTACTGCGTTACTTTCCGAATTCCCGCCATTTTTCCCGCCGCCCCCGACTGTGTTTTTTTTTTAACCACACTCTTCACTGATGTGATCAACTGAGAGCGCTCGTTTGGTTGGTGACCAAATGGCACTCACTTGGGCTGGTGACTCGCGATTGGTGGATTGGTGAAACCTGTCACTGGATTGTTTACTTGTATGATATATATACTGTGTCGGACTTAAATGTGTTTTTCCTCGCGGTTTCCATTTTTATTGCTAAGTGGATTTTTATAGAACAAGTATGACGCATTCAGTATGACTTGGTCAGAACATGTATAGGACGAACATGACACGTTCAAGACGAGTATAAAGCGTTCAGGACAAGTATATCACCTACAACACGAGCATGACCTGTTTAGAACGTGTATCGTACGAACATGAAGCGTTCGGGGACAAGGACATCACGTTCAGGGCGAGAATATCACGTTCTGGACGATCATGACGTGTCTGGGACAAGGTATATATATAGAAGAGAGAGAGAGAGAACATGCGCAGCTTGTGGCGACCCAACACCACCGGGAGTAACATTACCAGCCAGTTATCAAACAGGTTTGGTGAGAAATTATTCCTCTTGAGGAGCAGCTTAACCTTCCTCCTGGGGTGAAAGGCGTATTATTTTCTTGTGGTTAAATATAACCGTTTGCCAAGAAATTACACACGTGAACATTATTATTTGGACGAGACATATACACACTGACTATACGTATTTATATACACTGAGAAAATGTAAAGGAGTGAGAAGAAAAAGAATTAAACAATGAGTTTATGAACATTCGCGAATGAGTCAGATAAACATATTGACAGCCAGGCCGTGGCTGACTCGACCCCCAGGACTGAGTCCAACCCAAAACGTTGCGCCATTTTAGTGTTGAAAGCTTGGGTAGACCTGCTGTCAGGGCCTGAGCATCTCCCCAGCCCCCTGACATGCTGCCAGGGCCTGAGCATCCTCCCCGGCCGCCCTCGACCTGTTGCCAGAGCCTGAGCATCCTCCCCAGCGACCCTCGACCTGCTGCCAGGGCTTGAGCATCCTCCCCGGCCGCCCTCGACCTGTTGCCAGGGCCTGAGCATCCTCCCCAGCGACCCTCGACCTGCTGCCAGGGCTTGAGCATCCTCCCCGGCCGCCCTCGACCTGTTGCCAGGGCCTGAGCATCCTCCCCAGCGACCCTCGACCTGCTGCCAGGGCTTGAGCATCCTCCCCGGCCGCCCTCGACCTGTTGCCAGGGCCTGAGCATCCTCCCCAGCGACCCTCGACCTGCTGCCAGGGCTTGAGCATCCTCCCCGGCCGCCCTCGACCTGTTGCCAGGGCCTGAGCATCCTCCCCAGCGACCCTCGACCTGCTGCCAGGGCTTGAGCATCCTCCCCGGCCGCCCTCGACCTGTTGCCAGGGCCTGAGCATCCTCCCCAGCGACCCTCGACCTGCTGCCAGGGCTTGAGCATCCTCCCCGGCCGCCCTCGACCTGCTGCCAGGGCCTGAGCATCCTCCCCAGCGACCCTCGACCTGCTGCCAGGGCTTGAGCATCCTCCCCGGCCGCCCTCGACCTGTTGCCAGGGCCTGAGCATCCTCCCCAGCGACCCTCGACCTGCTGCCAGGGCTTGAGCATCCTCTCCGGCCGCCCTCGACCTGCTGCCAGGGCTTGAGCATCCTCCCCGGCCGCCCTAGGTCTGATCCCTATCTCTAGGTCTGGTTCCCACCGGCCCCCAGGCGCCCCGGGTCAGAAAGAGAGCATGCCCAAATGCTGTCTTTCTAGCAACATTTCACCGAGAAGAGACGCTCCGCTCTCACAGCTGGGGCCCAAGAGCTTAAACATAAGGGCAGCTTAAGAAGACAAGAATGCTGCAAAGTAAGCTCCAATTTATATTCACCCAAATTCATACACATGTCTAACTTACGCTTGAAACTATCCAGCGCTTCCAAGATTATTATGAACCGCGGTAATTTGGTCAACAGATGAAGAGTCGTGTTTATAAACCAGTATTTACCCCAGGTTATTTCTAAAAATATATTTACATTCAATATACCATGACAATCATATACTCCTGTTTCTACTGCTCTTCTCACGCCATGTACCTTCTTGAGGTTATCTTGATATGATTTCGGGGCATTAGTGTCCCCGCGGCCCGGTCCTCGACCAGGCCTCCACCCCCAGGAAGCAGCCCGTGACAGCTGACTAACACCCAGGTACCTATTTTACTGCTAGGTAACAGGGGCATAGGGTGAAAGAAACTCTGCCCATCGTTTCTCGCCGGCGCCTGGGATCGAACCCAGGACCACAGGATCACAAGCCAGCGTGCTGTCCGCTCGGCCGACCTGCTCCCCAGTCATGATCCAGGAATGGCTGGAAGTCCATGACACCCTATATCACGTTCCAGTGACGGGTGCAACTCTCCCTCAAACCCTATATCACGTTCCAGTGAAGGTTGGAACGCCCTAGCTGCTTCAGCAGCTGATCAAAGCAACATAAATGCAAGAGTAGTGAAGCAACAGTCTGGGAGAACAGCCAGACCAAGAGACACACACTTGCCACATCATGAAGACTTACACCTGACGGCCGACTAACATCACACATCTGCTCTTGAGTGTGTAAACAATGCCATGTAACTAAGCACGAGGTTGTAAACACATTCTAATTATCTCTGGTTAAGCTGGGCGTGTTTCCTTTCACCTACTGCCTCTGTTCACCTAGCATTAAAGAGTTATGAGTTAGGTAACTGTTGAGGGGTTAGCAGGTCCACCTTAGGGGCCCCTCAATATAAGCCTAATATATATATATATATATATATATATATATATATATATATATATATATATATATGACAATATATAAGTATATATATATAGGTCCTTCTGAAGATGTATTTAATATACGAAAGTGTGTCCTCCGTGTGTGTGTGTGTGAGAGAGAGAGAGAGAGAGAGAAGGGAGAATGGCAATTTAAAAAACACTTGAGTCATCTTCTTGTGGTTGAGGGCTCAAGATAAGACAAGATGAGGCTGAGGATGCTTGGGAGAGATGCTTGGCTTGGGGCATATATTTACCAAACATCAGCTGTTACAAGGTTAACGTTTCTCTGGCTGGCAATGGGTGTGAGGTCACAGTTGTGACTGTAGGTGACATAATGTTATGATGAGGCAGGTGAGAGTGGGTCATGCAGGTGTGTGTGGGCCATGCAGGTGTGTGTGGGGACCATGCAGGTGTGTGTGGGCCATGCAGGAAAGACAAACTCAGGTCTGGCTCCTATCCACTCTACACCAGAATAAAATGTAATGTTTTAAGCTATCTACACTCTTAATTATTTTATTCTGTCTCTGGAATCCCATAATTAGCCTTGACAAACTAACCAACCATTGCGGGCCTACTTGACTCATATCTGACTTGCTATATGCAAATTACCACAGGCTACTTCAATTCCGTTACGACAAAGCTAATCCACTACACTGAAGCCACAAAAACAGGCGGGAATACAGCCTTGGGGAAGCCTCAGTTGCAAAAGTTGCCGCTGTAATTCATTTGTTCACCGAGTGAGGCTTGTAGATGATCCATGACTTTACGAAACTTTAAGAAACTTCAGAGACTTCCTTTCGTCTCTAAAGAAGACAATGCTATGGAATGTGCTTGGGTCTCTAGCTCAAGGATTTGGAAAAGGTGTCAGTGAGAGGCAAGAATCATGGTAACCAACTATCGGGGACAGGAAGCCTGTTTAGGCTTCACTATGTCCCACTAGCTCAGCCTATCAACAAAAAATGCATCTCATGGCAGTTTCCTAACTCTCGGTACCTATTTACTGTTAAGCGACAGTGGCATCAGATGAAATAAAATTTGCAGAATGTCTTAGTTCTACCGTACGTGAATCTCCTGGCGATTCTGGCATTGGTTTGAACCTTTTAAACTTTCCCAAAAATTCTTGCCATATAATAAATCTAATTTTTTTCTATTTTTGTATAAATATAATAATAATAATACAAAAAATCCATATTTAAGCATTATGTTTTAGTCTGCATTTGAAACTTTTAGCGAATATTTGAGGAAATGCTTTGCGTAAGTGCTTAGACAAGGGGAGGGAGGGGTATTAAACAGCACCTTATATTTTACGTTCCGTTATTCTGAGCCGAGCTGATCAAATTTGATTGATTGATTGATGAAGATTAAGCCACCCAAAAGGTGGCACGGGCATGAATAGCCCGTAAGTGGCGGCCCTTTGGAGCCAATACCAGTATCAATAGCTGATACTGGAGATCAGTGGAGGTGCGACTGTACCCTGCGTGACCTGATCAAATCTGCTGCGGTGTATTAAATATCTCAACTGCTGAGCAGGTGTGTACATAGTGCGTGTCATGTCGACAGAAATATGCATGCAAGTCTATATAATATTTAAACGACCTCTCAATGTGCAAAAGTTGTAATGATTTCTATACTAAGATGGGAGATTGGGTTTGTGGTATTTTCAGCCTCGATAACACTTTCGCATGCGCTTACTTCAAGAATGTATTGATAGCCATGGCTAATAGTCACTCCTAATTTCATCGGAGAAGGAACTGCAGCATCATTGGTGGGGTTGATCACAGGTCTCTAGCTGGTCCCGTCTGGGAGGCAGTGTATCCCTTCTTCCTGCTTCAATATAATTAATTGTTGCTCATTTATGTGCCTCTGTAACCCTTTCCACTACCGCCCACAAGATGGGTATGGGGTGCATGATAAATGAACTAAACTAACTCTGGTCACAGGTACAGTAATATGATGAATGTTGGCCGAGACTCACCGGAGACAAATTCTTTACACGAATCTGTGGTGTGTGGAAGCTTAGCCAACGTGGTCATTATCCTCCCCATTTCTGAATTTGGGGAAGCTGTTGTTGTTAAAGATCCGCTACCTGGAACAAAGTTCCAAGCAGCACGGGCTATGGTGAGCCCGTTGGTTTGATCAGCGCTTCGGTGAGGTGCGAGGAAGCAGCTCGCATGGGCTCCACACCACCGTGATGACATGGTTCGTTAACAGAGCTAGTAACCCTGTATGTAATGAGCCCGTCTCTCTCGCTCTACAGAGTTATCTCAATTGTATTTATCACCGAGACATCGAGCCTTGTATGAGTGATAAAAATAGAGGTCACATCTTAACTGTGAATGATCTCCATCGTTGTAGCATCTTCATAACCATCTTCGATCCTCCTCCCGGGGTCTATGGTGTTTCCCCCAGAATCCGAATTTCTTCAAACTCATGATCGTCAAGAGTTTGATGATCATGAGTTTGATGATCATTTCATCCAAAAGGGGAAACATTGTGTCATTCAATGACATTCAGTGTGCATCCCTCACTACTAATTATATTGTATATTTTTACGCCTTACATATGAATGGATGAGAAAACATGTGTAGGTGAAAAAACTAGTCTCTAGAATTAGGGCGCCTGACAGCTGAGTGGACAGCGTTTCGGATTCGTAGTCCTGAGGTTCCAGGTTCGATCCCCAGTGGAGGCAGAGACATATGGGCAAAATGCTTCTTTCACCCTGATGCCCCTGTTACCTAGTAGTAAATAGGTACCTGGGAGTTCGGACTGCTTCCTGAGGGGGGGGGGGGGGTGTAACAAAAAAGAGGCCTGGTCGTGGACCGGGCCGCGGGGACGCTAGGCCCCGAAATCATCTCAAGATAACCTCAAGAAAATAGAATTATACACTTGGTCTGGTACAGATTCTGAAAGTACTAATCTCACTCTCTCTCTCTCTCTCTCCTATATAGTGGAGATGGATAACCAGGTTAGGTTAGGGTTAGAGACATCTAAACCAAGAAATGACGGGAACTTTAAACAGACATCTTTCTCTTGTGACGCTCTCCGTGGTGGTAGGTGGTGATGGTGGTAGGGGTGATGGTGGTGCTTAGGTGGAGAATGTCTCGACGAGAGGGTATATATAAGTGGAGGAAGACTAAAGATACCTGATGGGATTCCATATCAAAATGTATATATTATTCTCTGTGCTTCTCACACAAAGTTTACAATACACTCTACCACTTCCTACAGATGTGAAAGTCTACAGCATAGTAACTCCATTTAAGTCTACGTACTTTACAATACACTGTATGGGCTATTTGTTTGTTTCTATAAATACATGAGGTACATCTGCATTGAGGTACATTGGTGCAGCTACCCTAGACTTTATGAAGTGGAGTACAGTGTGTCAAAAAAGCTAACTAGGTGATGCTATAAAATCCCCATCACACAGGATGGTTAGTCATACAGAGGCAAGTGATAGGCAGTGTGCACTGGCAGACTCTGGAAGCATTTTGAGGATATCATCAACACAAGAGTGAATAAGGTAGCAGTGGTAATAAAAGTCCCCATCTCGCAGGATGGTTAGTCATACAGGGCCATATGTTTAGTAGCCTGCACTGGCAAATTTTGGGTACACTGTGAGGATATCTTCAAGAATACGAGAGTGAATAAAGTAATTGCAAAGCTCCAGGTACCTCATGCCAACTGGTCTGAAAGGTCTAATAACTGGGCATTCAGTGATGTAGTGTGGGAGATCGTGTATGGGCTATGACCTAAAAAATTACACTACAGTCTACAGGAATTCAATCTCACAATGAAAATCTACGGGTTACAAAGCGTCTGTGAAAGTCTACGATCTAAAAAAAAACATTAAAGCAAAC